TTCGGTGACTGGGGTAATCGGGATGGGTGTGTCAGAGGCGGTGCGGTTGGCACAGGATAGAGCAGGGTTTAGGGCTGTTGTGCATAGGGTCGCTATGAGTCGGAAACAACTCGACAGCACATAACAACAACAACAACAGATTCTTAAGAAATAGGGAGAGACAAATTGTGTACCTTTTAAGTTATTTTTTAAGTAGGATGGTATTTTTAAATGTATGAGAATGGTACCTAAGGTCTAATGTGTTTTTCTCCCTGAATGAATACTGTTGTGATGAAGACTAGAGTTGTCATTCTAGATTCTGCTTTATAAGGCCAAACAAGGTCTTTAAATGTGAGCTGTCTCCGCCAGAGTGGATATCAAGTAAAAGCAAGAGCTGGGGGCTTCTGTGAACAGGCGAATGCTACTGAGCATACCTTGAAAGCGCCACCTCCTTCTCTTGTTCGTCCCAAGTTCCACACTTTCTACAGAAAAAGTGACCTTATTTTCTCACTCAGAAAAGATGTAGACTGTCTCTGGTTAGCTAATCTGTGCTATTACTGAAAATCCAGGACACACAGTAACCAAACCCATGTTGTACCGCATGAATCTTTCCCCAAAATTGCTCAGCAAGGAAAAGAAATAGCCCAGCCTGTTCCTTTCCCATGGGGACTGACTGGTTCTTTCCACCCTGGAGCTGCCCTGTCAGGGCTATCTAGGCCAAATGTTCAAAGTCTTGTTTGATAAGCTAATTCTATTCAAAACACTGCTATGAAAGAGGTTTTCAAAACGTGCTGTTTAGGTTGTAAAGATTTGGCTTACTAAACTGAAGCAAACTTTTTCAGGTATTGATTTTCATTTTTTCGGCTAACCCAGTTAGTTATTACTGTTGAAATCTCCTTATTGCAAATATTCTGTTTTAAGTCTGTCTTATGAAGCTTTGACATGCACTGTCTTTTTTGCTCCCTAACTTTAATAGCATGACTTTGTGTTCTTGGACATTGGTATTAATTACTATCCAATTGGAAGATTGATTTTTGAGGTAAGAGGTTTTTGTTGTTTAAGAAATTGAAGAAAATTTGTAACTGTCTCGAGGTTAGATATTGAATCTCTGAAATTTTTTTAATCTTTGTCTTATAGTTGTACTGTGATGCATGTCCCAGAACATGTAAGAATTTTCAGGTCCTGTGCACAGGAAAAGCGGGAATTTCTCAGAGTGGCTTGAAGCTTCATTATAAAGGCTCAATTTTTCATCGATTAGTGAGGAATGGTTGGCTGCAAGGAGGAGGTGAGGTTAAAATCTTAAATATGACTTAATGAAAACTTTAATTAAACAAGAATATATAAAATTTTGTTTATCTTCCTTTTTGAAACACATATAGAATTAGAAGTAAAATACTTAAAAGGAAGCTCTAGTGGTCTAGTGGTAAGGAGCAGTGCTGCCAAACATGATTCTAATCCACCAGCTTCTCTGTGAGAGAAAGATGGGCAGTTTCCTCCTGCACAATTTACTGCCTCTGAAAACCCACTGGAGGCTTAGCTATGGGTCATTTCTGATTCCATGGTACAAAACAACAACAACAACAATATTAAAATAATGAAATCTTAAAAAAGTATGTTACCAGGAAGATTACCAAATAAAAAGTAATATAAGGGGAGCTCTGTTGGCCTAGTGGCAAGAAACTGCACTGCAATCCCAGAGGTGTGTGGTTCGAATCCACCAGATGCTCTGCTGGAAAAGGAGGGGCAATCTCCTCCTGTACCAGTCAGATCTGATTTGATGGTACACACACAAAGAATAATAATAAAAAAATTAAAAAAAGATTAAATTGTTAAAAAGCAACATAGGAAGTCAGGGTAACTTTATAAAAATGTACTTTGTACTGTTCACTTTAATAAGGGTGCCCAAAATATCCGGTGCCCTGGTTTCTCATCGGAGATATTTATGGCTGCTACCAATTATTATGAGTGAAAAGTAAGATCTAAAATATCTTCTATTTTTTATATTTCGGTTTATATTTTTGCTTTCTTTTTGGTGCAACCCTTTGACTTTACATAACAGGTACCTACCTGATTAACAACACAAAATTGTGTGTATGTTGGAGGCCTTTGAGAGATAGTCCATAGGGAGCAATCAGGCAGCAATTTAAAAATAATTGGCTGGGTGTGGAAGGAGATTTACTTGAACTTGATAAAATATGCAGAGGTTTAAATGAATAATGTTTTAATTCTTTGCTATGATGTGCAACATTCTGAGGCTGGTGAGGAGAAAAAAAATGTACATTTATCCTAAGCATCTTAAGCAGCCCTTGCCCCACCCCAGTTTCCCCAAGTCCAAAGTCATTGTTTCTCCTCTTATGTAGCTATTTACTTTCCTCTTTCAATATACATATAAGATGTTTAGTGTCTGCCTAGCTTTCTACAGTCAGACTTAAACCCATGTAGTCCTCCCATTGGTGAACACTTAGGTAGCTTTCAGGTTTTTGTTAGTATGAAATAATCTTTCAGAAGCCAATCTCAAGAGTCTCCTGATTCTTGGTTCAGTGTTGACTTTTGTGTGCTAGGCTTTTTTTTTGTTTTGGTTTTGTTGTATTTACCTACAGCAAGGTTGAGAAATTAGATTCCTTTATTTGCTACTTATTAACTAATGGTAAAATTTTAGAAATTCCTAAATAGTGAAATGGATTATATTTCCTAAAAGGCAACAATGCTAAGAGCAGTTTGAACAAAATATGATTACAAGATTCAAATCCAAAAAGTTGCACCACCCTGGATAAGCCACTCTCTCTGGAGAGTCAGAACCAACTCATAGCTGACCTCCAGCAGGTTTTCAAAGGCAGTTAATCACATGGGAGGAGATTGCTCATCTTTTTCCCATAGAGCTCCTGATGAACTTGAACTATGTGCCTGTGTGGTGGCAGTTCAACTTCTTTTTTTTTTTTAATAGTTTTTTAAAAAATTTTTTATTTTATTTTATTATTTGTGTGTCTGTACGTCAAATCAGATCTGACTGGTACAGGAGAAGATTGATTGTCCCTCCTTCCCCGGCAGAGCATCTGATAGATTCGAACCATACGCCTCTGGATTGCAGTGCAGCTTCTTGCCACTAGGCCACCAGAGCTCCCCGCAGTTCAACTTCTTACCACTACACCACCATAGCTTCCTAGCATCTCTGAGTTAATGCCTTCATCGTAAAATGAATCATTAAATAATATCACGGGATATTATTATATGTCCTGGTGGTGGGCGTTCAGGGTCATGGAATATTGAAATTATGGAGCTATGTAAACAAACATTCTTTTCCCTTCAGATGTCAGATTCCTACAGGGCTGTGTAGGGTGTTAGAATCCAGGTGCTAACTAGTTTTGTCCTGTACCTGAAGTTGCTTCCAGGCACTACTGCTTGCCCATTGGAACCAACAGTCCCAATACAATGTGTGCCCCTATGACCCTAAGTCCCTTACTTCTTCTGCTGTTTCCCTGTCTGCTCCACACACACTGGTATATCCTTGCTGTTTGAGCACCACAAGTGTATACCTAGTTTGAGTTTCTTATTGTTTCTTTGTCTGGGACACATTTTATTACCTCCAAGTATCCTTTTGCTTAACACTCTTACTGTTTTTTACCTTGGTGCAGATTTCATCTTCTCAGCAAAGACTTACCTGCTGCCTTCCTCTCTACACACCTCTCGCTCCTCAACTCTTCCTTTGCCACTTACTTGTCCTCCACACCTTGCTTTATTTTCCTAATGGCAATTTTAGTTACTGGAATACTGTTACATATTTCATGGCTAATGTTTTTATTATCCATCTCTTCCTAGAATATAAGAATATATAGAAGCAGGTGTGGCATCCACTTCCTAAACCACATGCCTCTGGAAACTGTAGGAACTTGGAGAAACAACGATAGTTATGGAAAGGCATTAGGTCTTTTGTTCATAAAGTTGCTATGAGTCATGCTTCACTCAACGGCAATCAGCAACAACAACATTATCTTTAATTTTGTCCTCTTCATTAAAAAAATATATGAAATGCTTCACAAATTTTCATGTCATCCTTGTTCAGGGGCCGTGCTAATACTATTCTCTGTATCCTTCCAATTTTAGTATTTGTGGTGCTGAAGTGAGCACAGGGAAGAGATTTTTATCTGTTTTGTTCACTGTTTGGTCCTTAGGTTTCAGAACCATACCTGCCATACCATAGGTGCCTGATGGGGGAATAAATGAAGGAATGATGAACAGATTAAATGAAAAAAAATATACAGTCCAATCATTCTTAAAGTACAGTTTCTATAGAAGATAACTAGTCAGTGAAACATCTTAGATGCACTTGACCCTCTGTGGTCCTTGCAAGGCTTGCTGCCTTCAGAAGGGTCTCTTGGTCTGTGTTGTGGTTGTTAGGTGCTGCCAGGATGATCACGATTCTTAGCGACCTTATGAACAGCACACCTGAACCCTGCCATGTCCTTTGCCATCCTAACCATCCCTGATAGACTCAAGCCTGTGGCTTCAGCCACTGTGTCCCTTCATCTCGTTGAGGGTCTTCTCTCCTCTGCTGATCCTCCACCCTGCCAGGCATGATGTTCTTTTCCGAGGACTGGCCTTTCCTAACAATGTACCTAGAATATGTGAGATGGAGCGTCGTCATCCATCCCTCCAAAGAGCGCTCGGCCTCACCTTCTCCGAGATAATATGTGTTCATTTGACAGTTCCTGGGATAGTCAGTACTCTTCTCCAACACTACAGCTCAGAAGCAGAATTTTTTATAGCTTAATATATTTTTATTATCATTATCCTTTTAAGGATAATGATGATAACTATAATAGCAATAAGCGAATAATCATTATGACCACAAATAAATGAACATGACGCTCTGTCAGGCACTATTCTAAGTATTCAACCTACATACATTTAATCTCCTGAGCTCCTTGCTATTATCCCTATTTATATAGTCAAGGAAATAGGATTAGAAAGGGTAACTAATGTCAAGATTTAAATTAATGTTATTTGAATGTAAAGTTGACTTCCAATAAATACTGTATCCCTAAATTTGTTTTCAAAAGCCTAGAAATCATAATGAATCATAGAATGCATGGAGATAGGTTATGACCTCAAAAAATATTTAGGAGATCTGAAGCAAAAGGCAAGAATAATTTGTATGTGTATGAATCAGGTGAGATTGTGCAAAGCATTGTGACCAGCTTTTGAGATAAGTTAGTGGGCAAAGGGGAGTACTACCTGGCAGGTTTGCTTGCACGGAATCAGCCCTAAAATCTGAAGGAATTAATGCCTCGATGACACTCACCTTCCTCATTTCCAGATTTAGCCTTCCTCAGCATCCACCAGAGAGCTGTGCACCTGTGGGGATTGTGGAAAGTATATCATGGAGTAGTAAGGATGGGAGCTCAAGGTTTACCAGTTGATTTCTGTGCCTGTTTAATTCTCATCTGCCATTATGAATAGGAGTCACCTCAGTGGCACCCAATAACAGTAACACCAGGCTTGCTAATTATTTACAGTGCTAGAAAATAGCGCACTTTTACTAGAACTACTCATTGAGTTACAATGACACATTGAGTTAATATACAACAAACATTTGTTAAACATTATATTAAAGGAAGTGGTAAATTAGAAATTTGAAGGAAGGAAGTAATAAGGGGAGGCTGGAGTTCAAAAGACAGACTGTTGTTATGTCCCTTTGAGTCAAGTATGACTAATAGAGACCCTATGGTCAAAAGATCTGAACCTTGTTCTATCGTGTGCCATCCTCACACTTTCTGATACTCAAGAGTCCATTGCAAGGAGAAGATGGCAATTTCCACAGGAGTGAAAAAAAAAAGCGCCCATTGCAGCAATCACTGTGTCAGTCTACCTGGTTGAGGGTTTTCCTCTCCTTTGCTGACTCTGCACCCTCTCTAAGATATATCTATCTGTTCATTCTCTTGGCCTTCCATGGGATGTGTAGTGCTTTTCTCCAACACCACAGCTCAAAGACATCAATTATTTTTCTGTCATCCTTATTTATTGTCCAGCTTTGGCTTGACTTCATTTTTTAGTTGTAAATGAATAAAATAACTTTTACATAGAGGGTTTCCATAGTGGTTTTGTTGTTGTGTACCATCGAGTTGGAACCAACCCGTAGCTGACCCTGCAGTGGCTTTCCAGAGGCAGTTAATAGCATGAGAGGAGATTGTTCATCTTTTCCCCACAGAGCAGCTAGTGGATTCAAACCGCATGCCTTCAGGATTGCAGCACAACTTCTTACCAGTACGCCACTAGAGCTGTAGCATT